TTCGTGCCGTCACGTTCGCCTGTACGTATCGATGCCGTGTCGACTGTGCATCCGTTACTTACGCTACTGCTACTGTGCATCTTTTACTTATGCCTCTGCTGCTTACTTCCTTCATAGGATCTCTGACCACCATATAGTCAGACTACCATATGGTCAGCCATCGTTATTTTTTCTCCGGTTTGCGTGTTTTTTTCACGTGTTTTTTCTTGAGTCATGTTGACTTATTTTTGAATTAATTTTGCACTATTTTTTTCAGCACCACTGCCCTATTCGGGATGAGGAGTATTCGCTATTTTTTGCAGTCACAGGTTTCTATTTTCAGGACGATTGTTTGTTTTTGCACAAGTGAACTGCTATCGAAGAAGCGCTTTTCGTTGATGCGTGCGGACGCTTTGGATGAATGGGTGGGAGCAAGTCGCTAGGCAGGACAGTTTGCGTTCACCGCAATCATTTTATGTGAAGTAGGCGCTTGTTTGGCATGGAACGAAGAATGGATCTTGCCATGCAAAGGCATGGACGACAAACTTACAATGGTGTGTCTTTGCCACAATTCACATGTTTCGATCATATCTACTAGAGGGTATTAAGCACTAGTTAAAGAAGATAAAGAAGTAGGCATGCTCTGTACAGGGCCGAGTGCCCTTGCCATCATATTTGCAAGAGCGTATGACACTCCTTGATGGCTCACACACACAACAACGGAGCTGATACACATAGGTGTACATATATATACACACTGTATTAGTATATAGTAGTATATAATATGTGCAAACATGTTCAAACAGAGCTGATTCATCACTAATTAGTTTCAATCCTCTTTTCAGCGACACTTTGGGGAAACAGGACCGGTTTATTTCTTCCCTGAGTGTGAATGATGTGCCAGCGCCATGGATCATCGTGCTCCACAAGGTGATGCCACAGATACAGTGCAGCGTTTCGTGGGCATCTTGGCGCAAATGAAGCGCAGTCTCAGCTCATTCTTTATGGGGAGCAAAGTCTTTGCAAATAATTAGGTGCCGCTATTGTGCCCTATCAGGACCTGATAGTGCCTTTTTACGCTTCGAAGCAAACATTCGGTGTCCGTTGGGAGTGTGCAGGCTCTTGTATGAACAAACAACACAGAACACAAATCACATGGAGTTTGGTCTTTTGCAAGGATCCTGTGTCATGATTTGTTCCACAAATACATCGCATGAAATGAACAAGCCGCAAAACAAAGATTTGTACGCCATGACTGAATGCTATTCACTCCTAATTGAATCTATTTGGTGCCATTTCAATTTTCTGTGCATGGGCGCTGCATACAAACATGTCAGAGTCAGAAATGTCAATGGAAACTGCTACTGCTACTGACGCGCCACCGTGGAGCAGCTGGAGCTCAGAAAGCACCCGATGCAGTTCTGAACCTCTTGAGGACAGTTTGGTGAAGGGCCATAGACTACAGTAACTAGAGATGATTCAGTCACAGGAGAGGCACTATCACAATGACAGAACACTCTTGCTGCTGTGACCAAATAGTTTAGAATGCTGGGAGACATTGCTAGGACATCAAGTTGGACAAAACGATGCTGGCGAAGTCTGGCCGCGTAGTTCAGATTGCCTGGCAAACGCTGCATTCTACAATCCCTGAAAGTGAACTGGAGGCTGGTTCTCCCATCTTGACCCAGCTAAAAAGAAACCCCGCAGTGGACATAGGCCCACTAGAAACTGTGATGAGAAATGTTGTTTTCTTGATACGGAATGCATAACAACAACTAGCCACTAATAGGGCCGTGCTCAATCCTGTGAGTTCCTTAGTGTGAGGCATCTATGCTGTTTACCACCAGGAGGGTAAGCAGTGCATGTTCGGGCGCGCTGACAAGTGACATGGCCCTCTGTGTCATTGAGCGCACTATTAATCAGTCGAACGCCTGCAAGAAGAACGTGGAATTCAACCTGATCATGGTACAGGAAACTTGCTTCACTTAGGCTCATGTTGCACCAGCCTTTTATGTTGTTTTTACTGACTATTAAACACAAATTGGAAAGCGCTAAGTTTTGCCGAACGATTGGGAATATTGAGGGCTTTGTTTTGCACTGGACTTCCTAGGGTTGGGCGAACCATCAATCAATCAAGGAGATGAACCGCACTTGCCAGCAATTGATTCGAGACCACCTCAACTGGTGCAAGCTGGTTGTTGGGCGGCCGCTTGATGAACCCTGCATGTTTGACCAGGTGGAAGGCTGTGTTCCTGATGAACTACTCGAGGATTCTGACTCCTTTATGACCATGTTCAGCAAGGTAAACAAATGCCATTTGCGGAACTCTCTGTGGTGCAGGAACCATTGCAAGCGTTGTCCGGTTGTTGGAGCAGCTGCGGCCACAGACTACGACTGCGCTGGATTGCCATGTTGGGATTACTCAGCAGCAGGTTTGAGAAAGAAGGAAGAGGGAAGCACCAAGCGGGTCTTCATTGCCTATGCCAAACGGCATATCTGGCAACAAACACCTTTGCTCCTAATCGAGAATGTGAAGGACTGGAGACAAAACACAACAATAATATGCAACAATGTTGCAAAGTAATAAGCCCTAATAAGCTCTAGATGAAGAATTGAACAGTGATGGTGTGATGGGGGCAAGGTAACTTTAATCGCTAGCCAGGGTGTGACTTCACAAGTGTTTGAATGTTATGTTCAGCAAGCAGCAAGCATTTGTGCAGGGCCTTCGTCTTGAGATGATTCGATTTCTCTTTTCCCACCACTATGATATCTACATACTGGTTTGCGGCGCAGAAGATCAAGGGCACGATGGCTCAACGAGGAACAGGCTCTACATAGTTTTGGCCCACCGGAAACGAACACAGCGGCTCCATAACCCTTCAGATCTATATCGTCGAGTTTGCCAGGCCATCCGGGCTGTGATTTGCACAACTCCGGCTGACTACTGCATAGCTCCTCTGCTCGAAATCGGGCAGCATGCCAACACTCTTGCAGACAGTCGTGGAAAGCGCTACAGAGTTGCTCGTCCTTACTCAGCACGTGAGTTGTGCATTCAGTTTGTCAAAGGCCCCCCTTGACCAAACCAAAATAATTACTGTACCAAGCTTTCAACCATTTGCTGATCTTGCAACGCAAAGATCCTAAGGAAGGGCCAAATAGCTTTGAGAAGTTGCTGACTAAACGAGAAAGAGATTGCCTACAAGAGGCACAAGCAGAGTACAGCAAGCGCTTCAAAGCTGATCCATCAAGTGACAGGAACTTGGTGGTCTATTTGGGAGACAATTTTAGCAACCGCAAAACCTGGAGCGGCAGTAGCCGTCGGTTGCCGACCTTTCGGACCGGCGGTGGCATCACGTGGTGGTGCTCTGAAAGGAGGCCCATGACGCATCGTGAAAAACTGGCATCCTTGGCTTTCCTCGTATCACCCGAAGTAGCCTTGTCTATGGGCGTGCCGGAAATTCCAGTGAAAGATTGGAAACGTGCTGCTTCCGTAAGCGGGAACTCCATGAACTTTGCCAGTGTGGCAATTGCACAAATGATTGCCCTGGCATCATTTCGCAAGGTATAGTCAGTTTAGAAATTCATGAATCATGACAAATCAGCAGCAGCACTGCAAAGGCAAAATGGGTATTGGGCTGCAGAGTGGCATGTTTTTGTGAATTCCTATCAACTCTTCAGGAGGCCTTTATATTGGGCACTATTTGGAGCCATTGCATTGCAAGTGCAGCAATCTAGCATTTTCCAGGGTCTTTAATAACAAATTGACACGTGGGTTGATGTGACCATCTATTGATTTCTTCATAGTTCTTCCATGTTCTTCCCTGATTCTAGATCCTCCTTCGGACCCAATCCCAACGCACAAGAGCTTATTTGAATTCAAAGCCTTCACGGGGATGGTTTCTGTAGACAAGGGCAAAGGCCCTAATATGCACAAAGTGTGGCCACATGTCAAGCTTCAGCACACCAAACACAATTCATGCTTATAGACTGTGCAGTAGACACAGAGCAAGCATGATAAAAACCGGTTTGCAGTTTACGCTGTGCTTGTGATTGCGATGCGCATCAGATGTTATTTTGCGAAAATAGGAGCAAATCAGCTAAGATCACTGCTAAGATCCCACAGTGGGCGGAAAGCGTGTCTGCGCTTGTGCTTGCACCGTCTGTGCCGCGTGCCCCAACTGCGCCCTTTGCACCCCCTTGTACCGCTTGCACCGCTTGCACTGTTTGCGCCGTTTGATGCTTGCGCCGACTACCTCGCCTCCGACAGCCTTCAGCATGTGACTTCCTGGGCACATCGTGCACAATGAACGCGATAGCGGATCGTGGTAGGCGTGAGTGGTGAGTGATGCGCGCACGTGGTTGTATGCAAATTAGGCTCGTGACATTCCGAAAATGGAGTTGTTGATCATTCAGTAAAACAATAGATTCCTCAAAGCTGACACGTTGAAAGACGCAGAAAATCCCAAACAGGCTGGAGAGGATCGCGGGATTTGAACCAATTGCTCATTATCGGGCCTTAGCGGGTGGAGTGGAAGAGGCGGATCCCTCTCGCAGTGTGAGCACTCCTATTTGCAATCAAATAGATGTTATTATTGTCGCAAATTAAAACATTCACAAACGACAAACGACAAGCCACATACAAAACGAAAACAAGCACAAGCCAAGCACAAGCCAGTATTTGCCACTGTGTTTTGTACGTTCCTCATGTGTTTGATTGGCTCTTTTTGCCACTTTTTGCGAGCAGTTTGCATCGGAGACTTTAACCCCTGGTGACATGTGCGTTCTCTTTGCGTTTTCCTGTGTTTGGTTTATGTTTGCATTACGTGTTTTTTTTGTGATTCTTGTGTTGATTGCATCCTAAAAATTTTACGTATACTCCAATCCCTGTTTACTCTTTCTACAGAGTAAAGCCCTTTGGATTCTGATAAGCATGTAAGAATCTGTCCTGGTGCGCTCCTGGCCCGAACAATTTGAGAAGCCTTTGTATTTGTTTCTAGACACATCCAGCCACCTTGGCAAGCATGGGAGGGAAACGAAAGATTCCCGGAAGCCTTCGGGATGCTCCTGCTGCCTCTATCCAGAAATGGCTGGAGCATGCCGATGATGAGAATGCGAATTGCGAGACTACAAACAGCTTGGACAAGAATTCTTTGTGCACCCTGGCTTGCTTTATGTTGGGATGGCAGCCGGACGCTCCACTTCCAGGGTGCCACAGCCTGATTTGGTCATGTTCCCCCAAGAAAGAAAATGGCATCATGCAAAGGCTTACTGAGACAAACTTAGGTTGGGTAACCACACAACGGTGCGTGCTGAGGTGCTCTGAGGGAGAACTTCTGGCAGCACTTGGGCTAAACTTTCATCACACTTTTCCGAATCTTGTAGAGAAAAGCTAGCAATCACAAAAATAGACCTTATTGGAATCTGTTTGATCCTGATTAGTAAAAGGGATTTCCACCTTAGTAGTATTAAGATGTATTTTTAGCTATTTTGCTGAAAACACATTTGTTATTGGGGATCAGGAGCCTTCCTGGTCCACTACCTTGAACAGTTGCTTAGGAGCAATCTCTACATAAAGGGGTGATTAAATGATTAAGGAATTGATTGCTTTGGGAAGCTGCCATTGGCTTAGTAGTATTAGGATGTAATTGTAGTTCATGTTAATGCGGAACACACATGGCACAATTAAGGACCCTTAAAGCAATGCTTATTAATTGGGAATCAGGGGCCTTCCTAGACTACTACCTCAAGAATTTGTTTAGGTGCAACTTACACCAAGGATTGATTGAGGAATTGATGGCTTTTTGAAGCTGTCAGTTTTGAAGAAGAACTAGAGAAACCTATCGATACCAATAATACTCTCAGCAAACCAGGCAGCCAGTGGCTTAGTAGTATTAAGATGTATTTAAAAAAATATTTAGTATAAAAAACATGATAGAGGACCCTTCATGATTTTGAAAAAAACAACAGCATTATAGAGGACCCTATTAATTACTAATCAGGATCCAACATTGTTTTGGACTTTGCCCCATTTGAGGCTGCAGAGCGACAGTACTCGCAACGAGGAAGGCCTCTCGCCAAAACATGCTGGGGCATTCAGGAAGTGACCAGATTCATGCAGTCGCATGTGAAAGGGAAATCTGCTGATGACGATCTCGGAGCTCATGGGTGCATGTTTGCCGATGGCAGTCCGCAGAATCCTTCCCCAATGCCGCAATTCATCCTCATCAAAGAGAAGTGGGGCCCAGAACAAGTGGAGAAATATGAGCGTGTCAAGGTTGAACAAAGTCAGGCACGGCTTCACATAGCCCTTGTGTTTCTGCTGGATTTGACAATGTTTGAGGAACGTACTCTAAGATTAAACCTTGTTGAGAGAGGTTTTCCAGCACGCAGTCAAGAATCCCCGAAACCCCTGAAGGTTCCAGTCTTTCAAGACCCCACCATTTCCATGGAGGATTTGGAAGGGGTGGAGTTCCCACAGAATGGCTACACGTGTGAACAAGAACAGGACAAGTTTCTCATCCAGCATGCCGATCTACCTGGTTTGACAGTCCAGCCTTTTGGCTTCAACTGGATGTGCACTGTTCAAAACAAGGCCCTCATAATAACCTTTTCGCACCCAATTAGTGCTGCGAAAGACCTATTTGTCTATCGTTTCTCGGGCTTGCTCAAATCCTGTCTTTATCTGGAAGAATCCAAGGTGGTGTACACGTGAAGGACAGGATTGGGACATCTACCTCTCCAGGGATGGTGACACCGTATGGAGTGGGTGTGATCATGACAGCCCAGAGTACATCAAGGACATCTTTCAGGAGGTGGCAACAAAGAGACTGAAGACTTTGGAATTTTGGTTCAGATTTGCATTGCATTGCACATTTCTCCCCCACCTGTGAATATCACCTAATCCATTTGTGAAATCTGGGGTCATTGAAAGGTTGCAAAGCTGGAACGTGGGTTGATTTCGGAGGTTAGTTGTATGACATCTTTGTATATATATATATAATGTATCTGTATAGTTTTGAATGTGCTCTTATGTTAACAAACCTTATTCAGCACTATTGGATGCAATGCAAGGAGAGCAGACCGGTTTGTCAGAAGAACGATGGCAGCAAAGGGGCGAGACCAGGTGTGCACATGGACTTGGTGGATCCTGGAATGAGAGTCTTTCTTTGTGAGGACAAAGACAACGGCGGGATGTTGCTAGTACGGCCCAGTGATGCCATGTGCGTGAGCTTGAAGAAGTACTATCACGATCCCCGCTTGCAGGCCATGAAGAAGGATGATAAATACTTGTATGTTGTTGATGAGGCAAGGCCAACGGACGGCACGAAACCACGATATGCTCATGCATTGCTCTCCTCCAAAACGAACAAGCGGGCACATGGGAGCGTCTTGGAACGCTGCGATCAGTGAACACCTAAGCTTCGCAGAAAGAATGTGTATTTCTTTCACTGAGCCAGCGTGAGTTTCAATGAAACTGACATGGGGCCTGAGGCTTCGTAAAGCGTGGGGCATCCTTTGACAAGAATGTGAAAGAGTGAGAGCCTGGAGCGGGACTTCACAAACTCTGGACATGTAACAAATGGATACAAATAGGCATACAAATAGTCACTATGTGTCACTATTTAAATCTAACAGGTGTTCAAATCTTTTCTGTAGACATCACATTTCAAACCGAAACGCTGAGCATACAATCTGAGCAAATTGTCCAGAGCTCCGCTTTATGCATACAAGTTTTGTTGAGGTAGGTGAAGAAGTGGCGATTCCTCCATTTAGCAGTAAGACGGAACACGTTTGGAATATCTCTGCACATTGAATTGTTCTTGTTGCACTGCCGAAACCAATTGAGTTTGGGGGGTCCTCTCTTCTCTGTTTGCGTGCAGCCGAAACCATTCAGTTGGAAGATTGTTCAGAGGCAAGCTTAGAAAGAAGAGGCTCAATTTCAATGCATTGCAAACGATTGTTTGCTAGACTGCTGCTGTGTCATGTTTATCTCATTGCAGTTGGCAAAATGCCACAGATTGAATGTGATTCCAACCCAGTTGTAGAAGGCTTCCTCTCCAGTCAGTTTGGGATCGAACACTGAGCACCGATTCAACCTGTGCTCCTGTCCGAGTTAGAGTGATGGGAAAGCAGGGTCGATTTGTGAATGCTATGCCTGGGCTGGAAGAGGCAGACCAAATTGCGCTACTTGCCTGCATGTTCGCTTGAAACGTATTTGAGCAGTGCTCAATGTCCTAATTCAGGGATTAACTGCGCTTGTTGAGATACAAGAGTCCAGACCAGTTTCGACCACCCCTCCTTAAAGATTAAACAATCTGCAAGCAAAAAGTCCATACAATGCCAATGGTCGCATGTATGTGTGGCTGTTCGTGCTTAATTGCGCTTATTTGTAACTTAGGTGGCCCAAGGCACGTGCTGACAAGAATGAGAAGAAGAGGCCTGCTGCCGCTGGTTCGAAAGCAGCACCAGCTCCGAAAAGGGCAAAGGCGCCGGCTGCTCCAAAAAGTAGGGCGAATTCTGACACAGGTGCTCGCCAGGTGAAAACGAGACGGTACACACAAAAGACCATTGGAGATATTCCGCAATGCCACCTCCAGGAGTGGTTCCGAAGTTGCATTTATGGATACAAGGTTTGCAGTTCTTAAATACAATGTTTTCCAGTTTGACTGCCAGTGTACTCTTAACTCTTGCCCTTCCACACACCCACACACAAAAAGCATACTGCTCAGGCTGGAAAGCGCCGACAATGTCCACGCGAACAAATCCGTGACCGGGAGGATGTCAAAAGAGCATTTCAGCCAAAAAGTGGAAGAGTACAAAACGGTAATCTACAACAACACATGCAAACAGGTAAAAAGAAGCCATTAAGGTTTCATATTTGCAACTATTAGGAATTAATTGTGGCCCTAATGGGAAACTGTGAGCCCCGAAAACACGGAGGAGAGTCCAAGAGTCAAAGAAGAGCACGTGAACGATATATTTGTGCTTTACATACTGGAGGTCTCATTGTGTCACAGGTTCTTTCTGGGATTGGGACAGGGAACCGTTGGTACCGCAGAATCCTTCTTGCAAAGCCGCATCCCAGGCAACTGCTGGCGCTCATCGGGTTCATGTTCGGATGGACGCCGGATTCGGAGCCAGTTGAGCACCGCACTCAGTCCTTTTGTAACAAAGCCAGGGGAGCTGAGAAGAGCCCCTATATTTTGATATGTTTGAAACTTGATTGCAACTTTCCAGAGTTGTTTTGGACTTGTGTCGCTCTGGTTGTCTCGGTTCTGCCTTCTGATGAGGCGAGTTCCTGAAAAAATGAACAAAGCCGCCTGAAAGCATGGGAGCACTGAGAAGAATTGGGTTTATATAATCTGACTTGAAAGTACACTAAAGGTTTGTTTTGCTGCAGTACTAAATCCTGGAGCTGCTAGAGTTGGGAATTCAAGCGAATTGATCGTTTGGCTTTAGCTCAACAATGGCCCAAGGTCGTCAAAGCAGAGTACTTGAGACGGGGCAAGCCGCTCCGCAAGACCCATTGGACGATCACTGAGGTGACACGATACATGCGCGCACACATGTCGTCAGATGATGTCGGCGCACATGGAAGGGAGTTTGAGGACCCCAGTGGACCAGACATGATGTCCCCCATGCCACAGTTTGTCCTTGACCACGAGCAAGAGCTGCAGTCGCGGTGCCTTTGCTTAAAGTTTATTCTTTGTACCATCTCATTTGGAGGCCTAAACGAAGAATCAACAAAGTGGTATTTGTGCAGCAATTAGGCACTAATAGAGCTGGCTTCTAAACATATCAGGAAAACTTCAAAAGAGCTGCCTGCAGTGGGGAAAGGTTGATGCACCACAGAAAGAAGGGTTTATCTCCAGCGAGAAGCTCGCTAGCGAATTCACTGGGTCAGTAGGTTGTGGGATTGTATTTATGGTGTTCCAATCTGTTCAAGCCCCCCTGCACTCCAAGTGTGGTGCTCCGTGATCGCAGTTGTCCCTGTTTTGAACCAACCACTACGCCAATCGCCCACCAAGGAAGAAAAAGAGCACCATGCCGCAGCAAGAGCTGCGATCGATCTCAGAGTTCCCCAAAACGGGCTATGAAGGGATGCTCAACCAGACGGCCAGGATGTATGTGATCACCCATCCTGACTTTCCACCTGGGGTGCAGCTCCAGCAGCTATGCAAGAAACTACCTCATCACCCTTTTTTAAGGATCAGGACCTTTCACGGGGGATATCTGTTAGTCTCCTTTTTTATTGTGTGGAACTGAGCAATTAGCGCATAACAGGCTTTAATAGGGTTCCAGCCAGAATGAGTGAATTTTTATGCTAGGTATGCAGTGTGCTGGATCATATGTAGTTTCCATGCATTGTGAGTTACAAGTGAATCTAAGGTATGAGGCAGACAGTGGAGATGAGTGGGAGATCTACTGTTCGAGGGACGGGGATACAATTTGGACAGGCAATGATGAAGATGAAGTGGAATCTTTGCTGTAAACAATCTAGAATCAATAAAATACTTTTGGATTCCTGCGCTGACCAAATTTGTGTATGTATATTAATATTGTATGTATATATATATATAAATTAACTCGCAAGCATGGTCTGGCAAATTGTCCCTCTACCCTGGAATGTTGAGGAATACATCTGTGAGCTCTTCCAGAATGCCCAGAAGAATTTGGGTGAAGCCGAGGACGAGGACGCGGGTCCGGGATCATCATCATTGGTGCGACTGCCCAGCAACGACACTTTGCTTGTCTGATTTCCAGTTTTCGTTAGTTACTGCTATTCACACCTACTCACAAGCATAGGCTTTCTTCAAATAACTGGGATCTTTTTTACATTCTTTGTTGTTCAATCCCATGGACTGGTAACTGAGGATGAGATCTCTGATCTTGAGGAGGAGGAGGCGGAGGAATTGCCGGAGTCGGTTCCAGATTTTGAGGATCTCCAGAAGCATGTCCATGCAGAGAAGCGGGCCTTTCTTGTTGAGAAAGACGACAAGAAGTGGCTTTTGCTGTGCCCTGCAAAGGACCTTCAATATGAGGTACCTTATCCTGACCCGGTCTTGCAGGTGGTGGAACACAATGATGAGTATGCCATTGTGATGGACAGCGCTTCCAAGGCAAAAGGAACCAAAAGCCAATGGGTTCATCAGATCTTTGCTTCGAGGAAGGCAAAGCCAATCACAGAGGAAGAATTCCTGTCACGGTGCCAAAGGTTGCTCGTAGATATTTCAAAAGAATCGAGTAAGCATTCCACTCTGGACTCTGTATACCAATAGACCAATAGATGCTAATATAGGCTACTAGCATGCCCAATCACATGAAAGTGTGATGAACAGTCTCCCTGAAATAAGTTCTTTACAGGGGTTGCTTCTGTTCAATGAACTGTAATGTGCATTGTAAATGTAGATCTTTCTTTTTGCCAGCTGGAGCCAGCTAATCTCAGGCTCCGCAAAAAGTGGCTCTTGCCAGAGCCTATCCATCCCGGGCTTGTAGCCATTGCAGGTCAAGGTCAAGGTGGAGGTCTCTCTCCTTTGGCATCGAGATTGCAACAAAAACTCAAGAGTCAGAGTGGATTATCGCCGAAGAGAGCCCAACCCCCTTCATCACCGATTGCCTCTGAACCACCTGCTGATAATGATGGTGACAAGGATCGGGAGCCAAACACGGAACGTGAGCAAGAGACGAACGCTGAGGAGACGAAGGAGTGAC